TCCCTACGGTATCCACGAACACTTTGCATTCAACTAATTTATTCTTTTTCTCGTTACTGTGTACCCACCAATGGCGTAGCTCCACACACGCACAACCCACAATTCGCCCATTCGCTCTGGCGAAGGGCTAACACTTAAAATGTCAGCTTAGAAACTCTTAATGGTGGCCTTAAATCCTTTGGTTTTATCAACTCAGTTGATAAAACCAAAAGTACGTTGTTACTCCCACCGACGCAGTACCACAGTTTCTTTAAAAACTTACCCCCTTTAGAAATTAGTTTTAGTTTTGCATCGTTTTGGTCGAGAAGGCAGTGAAAATTACTCCACGGGATTACTTTCGACACTCATTGAAATTGAGCTTCGAAAGTAATCCGGAATTGCTTTGGTTTAGCTTTATTTCGTTTTGTGATTGGTCCAGAAAACTCGCGCCACTTTTTCAACCAATCAGATTCCAAACTAAAACCAGTCGCGACTCTCGTTTTCCCGCGCTTCGGGCTCTTTGCTTGTTTTACATCGAGTTCTCATTGGTTCATGGTGATATTTTCCTGGCTATGATTGGCCGATGTGATTGCTTTGGTTTTGGTCTTATGGCGCGCAGTTGAAAAACGCCGTCTTATTGAGTCTGGTTTGTTTGATCTCTTTCAGTCTGGCGTATTCCCGCACTGGATTGAGCCGCCCAAGAGAGAACGTAAAGCTAACTATGCTGTTGACGCCTACTTTAGGGAAATGCTGCGAGTTAGTGAACCAAAGGCGCCAAAGGTGGGAAAAATATGAGTTAATTGAATTTATGGTTAAATTTGATGATTTAGTTGTGTTGGGGAATGCAGTGATATAGTGATCGTTCTCAGTTCAACATTCATTGTTGAATGCCACAGCAATTGTACATGTTTTTCAAGCAATTTTTAAGGCTCGAGTTACTAAATCTTTCGAAATTGTTTATAATTTATATTTAATATTTTATTGCTCTTGTCCTTTCAGGCACCGCGACCTCCGAAGCAACCCAATGTACAGGACTATCAGTTCTTCCCACCGAGGCTGTTTGAACTCTTGGACAAAGAGATTTACGCGTACAGGAAGAGCATTGGCTACAAGGTGAGGGGCTCAGATGGAGAGTCTTTTTATGACCTCAATGTTAGCCTCTTCTTTTTAGGAACCTTCGAACCCTTGTTAGCACTAGCTAATTTCTTTAAGGGCTCAGATGAATGGTCATTTTATGACCTTAGTGTAAGCTTCCTCGCTCACGAAACCATCAGAGTTATGTCAATTGGCGTGATGTTACCTCATTTTTCTTGTTCACTTAACAATGATTTATTCATTCAGGTTCCGAGGGACCCTGAGGACCCTCAAGGAGCAGAAAGACAGAAGGAGGAACAACGTTTAATAGATGACGCAGAACCGCTAAATGAGGAGGAATCTGCCGAGAAAGAACAGCTCCTCCAAGAGGTATCTTTTTTCTTTTTTTTTTTTTTTTGCGACCGTCGCGTATTTCCGCTTTCTTCTTTCCTAGCGCTTAGCAACACTTTCACGCTTCCTCACGCTTGAAATTGGTCACAGAAGCCTTCCCACGCTTAACATTGGCTGTATTTATGTAGTTTTGTTATTTAGCTTTGCAAAAGTCACGTGTTTTTTCCTAGACTCATGACACTGCAGCTCTGGTAATCACTGTTAGGCTGAGCACGGGGCGGATGACAAATGCGTAAAGAGTTCTTACCGGCCACATCCCCTGGCTCTTACTATTATTTTGATCTAACCTGTCAATGCTTAACTTGCTTTGGTTAATCGCTAGATTGTCTTAAATATGTTCTGTTTGAATTCAGGGCTTCACGAACTGGTCGAAGCGTGAATTCAACCAGTTCATCAAAGCGTGTGAGAAGTACGGTCGTGATGATCTGGACAACATCTGCCAAGATGTTGAGGGCAAAACTCCAGATGAAGTGCGCGCTTACTCCGCTGTGTTTTGGGAGCGAAAAGATGAAATGACCGATATCGAGAAAATAATGGCACAGATCGAACGAGGCGAAGCTAAGATTCAACGACGAATCAGCATAAAGAAGGCCCTGGAGGCCAAGGTAAGAAGATCATGAAAGCGGTCGAATCTACACCTGAAAGTTACGTCTGTGTGTTTTCAGGAAATTGATAGATCGACGCTGTACTCTAAAACTAGGGTGATCTGTAAAGAAGAGTCGTAATAAACTGCACTCAAGATTGCCTCTTCTGTATGGATGGTTCGATTGTTTGTAGTGTTTAACTTGAAAGCCTTTCTCCTTCCACCTGTAAAGCCAAGAGATGTTAAGCCTGAAAACTGAAGGCAAACAGCAATTTGATGATCAGTCCAAACTACTCCGGCCTCGTATTTTTTTTTTTTTTTAGCGTGTTTGTCGTCATGTTATTTAGCAAATTATTCGCGTAGATGTATAACCACGTGGGTATTGGATTTTAGTCAGGCAGCTGATTGTTTGAGAAGGTGTCAGGGTACGAGTTTTCTCCGAAGGCCAATCGCATCTCCTACAGAAGTTAAGCCGATGCAATACTGGATGACTTTCTATACGTAATTGGAAATCGTATTACTCTCTTATTACTTCCTATTTGTCACAGATGGCGCGCTATCGCTCTCCATTCCATCAAATGAGGATCGCCTACGGAACCAACAAAGGAAAGAATTACACCGAAGAGGAGGATCGCTTCCTGGTTAGTAATAAAGCCTCTTTACTTTAATGCAGTTTATGCCTCCTTGGTTAATTTAAGAAACTTCCGCCATCTCCAAGGTAAATTTGATCGTTCGCTCCATCACTCGATTTCACTTAACTTTTAGTTAATTCGGCTCTCGCATGTAAAAGATGGGCCTTTGCACGACCAACCATAAATTGTATTGATACGTTCTTCGCACTCCAAAATTCATTGTCTCGCAGTCACTTTGACGTTGAGGAAGGCGACGAACAATAGGGCGCCTTCCTCAACGCCTTGAGGAAAGGGTGTTGTAGTAGCAACGCCTTGATTGGGTGTTGTAGTAGCAACGTCTTGATTGGGTGTTGTAGTAGCAGCCAAGAAGAGCTCAGGGAGCAAATGAGTACTCGAAGCAAGAACGCGCGAACAGCCTAAAGCGCGGGAAAATGGAGTCGCTAAGTCGCGATTGCTTTTATTGTAGCATCTTATTAGTTGACAAAATGGCCCAAAATTTCTGAGCAAATCATAAAGCAAAGAGAAGTGAAACCATTTAAATCACGGATTGCTCTCAACACGTGATTGAAAGTAGCTCTACCTCGATGTAAAACAGATTTGAAATGTAATAAATGTCCACTTTTGATCTTCAGATTTGCATGCTACACAAGCTCGGGTTTGACAAGGAAAACGTGTATGAGGAACTGAGAATGGCTTGCAGAAGTGCTCCTCAGTTCCGGTTTGATTGGTTCCTGAAATCCAGGACAGCCCAGGTGTGTAAAATGCCCTCAGTCTTTACTTTTTATGGTAAAGAATCCTCATTGTTGTGCTACAGGACGCTGGTTTTTTTTCCTGGAAAGATTTGAGACGAGTCGGGGAGAGGTTTTCTGGGGGTCTAGCACTAATCCTCTCATTATTAGTGCCAGACTGTTATCATCGAACCTCTCGCCGGCTCGCTTTGCCCAAGACCCGCACTTTTCCCGCGGGCTGAGAACCGTTCGTATCGCAGCGGTTTGTGAATGAGAGCTTGCCAGCGGGCTAGAAATCATTTTGACGAGTGTTGTCATTACAGGAGCTTCAGCGCCGTTGTAACACCCTGATAACGCTGATTGAACGAGAGATGATGGAACTTGAAGAGAAAGAAAAGGCAGAGAGGAAGAAACGAGGAAAGGCTGCCGGGGGAACACCTAAGGTAGGTGACACCTTGTGGGTTCTGATATGACCTATGTGAAGGAGCGAGGTCTAAATCTTATTTGTTACTCGCAAATCTACCTTCCGCTTGTAGAATTAATGAACATGAGCAGAATAGACCAGATTTCTAGTAGAGAACTTAAATGCGTTTCCTTCTGCCAGACCGATAAAAAGACTAGGTTAATTTTGATGCGCCACGTGATCGTGTCAGTGCTCTCTGTTTGGCTGAAAAGTTGATAATTGGACACTAGTTCTAGAAACGAGAGTGGCAAGCAGATAAACAGTGGGAAGTGCCCTGCTACGGTGCATATCCGATAATCTGGTTGGTTCATCCATCATTTCGACTAACTACGAATTTTTTTCCTACCCAGGCTCAAACGCCGAACAAGGACGAAAAGAAAAGGAAGGCCGATGGCACACCTGATGGGAGAGGACGCAAGAAAAAGAAACTGTAGACAAACCATAACTTGAATTCTTATCAGAGCAAAGAGAGAATGAAGTTGTAAAAATTAACCTTAAATTCGTTTTTGATTTGTGGATTTTTCAATCTTACTTGTATTATATAGCCAACACTTAAAAAAAGTCTACTTGCTGCATCGTTGAGTGTCGTCAGTTGTTATTCTATGAAAGTAATTGCCGAGTCCATCATGATTTTGTTAAGTTCACCGTCAAAGTGCATATCTGGGTCTTCTTCAGTTAGTGCATAAAGGATGATATATTTCCAAGATTTTTAATTGTCAGTATCAAAATAAAGGTGCCTCATTAATTTACAGTTTGTGGTTTATGATCTGTGCTGATTTCAGTAACATTATCCTACCGCTTTCGATAGTAAATTGTTTATTAGCGGTTTTTTCGCCCACCGCATGAACAAACAAAATTTCTCTCTGTTATTTTCTTTAGATTTTTGTAGTTCCTTGAAGTTCACAGGAGCTATGATTTAGGAAAACCGTAGGCCTCTCGGAACAAAAAGTGACTGGAAACAAATATCTCGCAAACTGAGCCCAAATCTGAATAAAATTTAGCTACGCATTTACGTGCGCGTAAGCTTTCTTAAGAGGCAGACGACAATCCAAAATGCTTTCCCAAGAATGGAGATTGAAGTTTCAAATAAGAGTGCGTCAAACAAACCTCAAGAAAAACTTAAACAAACACAAGCCTGGAAACTGGTCTTTAATTATAAACTTTTTTTCTCTGAGCAACAAAGAGCACCAAACAACTTATACGTCTGTGACTTCCCAATTGACAGTGGCACCAGCATCGTTTCGTGGCGACTTGCCGTTTAGCAGTAGTCTCTCTTGAACCCAATCAGTTAAGTCTTGCCAAAACTTGTTGGCCTCACTCAAACTTGAGCTTTTTATCACCCCAAAGTTAACTTGTATCATGTTATTTACTGCTCACACAGCTAAATAATCTCTAATCCCACTGCTCACTTTTTTGCCAAGTGGGCAGGTTTGAAAAAAATAAGCATTTTAACAAACTCGCTAGTATCAGAAAGTGGTGTTTAATAATTGAGAAGCAAAGATTCCAAGAGTTGAATGGTACTATGCAATAGAAAGTTCTAATGCCAGAGCTTCATGTCACTGAAAACATAACTTTATCTTGTGTCTAGAACTTTAGCCATGAAGTCTTCCTTCAACCTTCTTGGCATTGTAAAATCTTGGAATGTAAACTCAAACAAGCCATGGTTGTCATCACACCAATTGATTCCATGATTCCTATCAAATTTTATTAATTTTCAGTTTTCTTTGCCATTGTAGAAAACACAAATTGGATTAAAGCTTTGTTCTGAACAATCTCTTGAGTTCTTTTCTGTTCCCTTCTGTCTGTTTCACGAGCCAAGCAGACACATCAAGTAATTTTCTGCACAGCATTGCAGCAGCAAGCCCTTTAATGAAAGGCTCTGTCTGTTACCAACAGCTAGTAGATTCCACTACTCGCAAGTTTAAATAAATTGTCTTTTTCTCAAGTAGTATTAAATTGCTTCTTGCAAAGTAGATGATTCAGGCTGACGAGGATTGAGGAGTATATTTGTGATGATACCACTCAACGAATTCATCCATTAGAACTGGCCCTGAGAATAATAATGATGATGATTGGTGTGCTCGGTTTTTAAGAATTTAAGATTTGATTTGTTCTTTTTTCCAAGAGCTATATGATCACTTAATTTCTTTTTAAGCAAAGCTTGGGTGACCCAAATGGCCAAAACTGAAAACCAAATGACCAAAAATGAAAACAATATCATCAATCTACAGGATTAAACTCCCATGAAATTTTCATCCTACATGTGATGGTATACTCTCCACCCTGCATGGAGAAGGGCATTATAAAAAATAAAATAATGATTTAGCAATAGACATTCCACTGGGTGGCTCTTCTTGTCCACTGTTTCCAGATGGAATTTGAATTTGGAACGTTGGTTTTTGCGGAGGGAGGAAAACCGGAGGACCTGGAGAAAAACCCTCGGAGCAAGGACGAGAACCAACAACAAACTCAACTCACATGTGATGCCAGGTCTGGGAATCGAACCCGGGCCACAGTGGTGGGAGGCAACTACTCTCACCACTGCACCATCCCTGCTCCCCAATTATGAGAAGAAAGTGTCATGCCCAACAACACAGGAGTAGTCCCCAGCAAGAACTTAGCCCCTGAACAGGCTCCTGATAAAAGAGCAGAGAACAAACTGGCTTTGAGTGAAGCCACCAGTGGGGGTGGGGTAAGGGGAGTAGTCTCCCTACCCCCTCGTCCCTCTTTTTCTTCCTTCTTTCAAAGAGAGTCTGCCTCAATAAGAGTGCCTGTTCAGAGGCTAACAAGAACTAAAAGATGGAGTCTGACTGCCTCAAAGTCATGCAACTGCAACCCCAAAAATGATCTATAAAATGGGAAACTTACATGCGCCATCTTCATCATAATTTGACAAATCAGGAAGTATTGAACGACTAAATTCCAACACATTACACCACTGGTCCCTGTTTAAAACTTTATATTTTGAATTCTGCAGGGAAGAAAGGAAAATTGTTAAATACCATGGAAAAAAATCATTAATTATATAATAGTAGTCCTGAGGGCAGACAGCCACATAAATAAAGATGAAAAAGTGAAACTCTTGAGCTGGCTTTTTTTTTTTTTTGCTGATTTTGGTCCTTTTTGATGGAAATAATTAGAGGACAAATATCCATCTAGATGGGGGCTACAGTGTGATAACTGTCCTTTGATTTTGCACCATGTGATGTAAAGTAACCCGTGGAATTGTGCAACATTTATGGGCAGGTTACAAATAAAAAATAACAAAATAAATAGGCTGCTGATAAAGCAGCATTGCACCATAACCTACCTGCAAAAATTGTAAGAAATCATCTAACAATGGCCATGAACCATGAAGCAAAAGTTGAATCATTGTAACAGCTGTATCTATGTCTAATGTGCGCTGGTCTTGATTCTGCTTGCAAGAGAAAGTAATAAAATGGACTTAGGATTCTTTTTCTTTTCTTTCACTCATGAACAACATACACAAGTATTTTCATTAGCCCTGGCAACTGATTGTACTTTACAGCCTGTGGAAAAGGACAAGTAGAGAATCAAAAGTCATGTTACCAACAGATGTTATTTTGCTCCATTTGAGGACCATCTAGTTGACTGTATAGTTGTTATTACCACACAAATCACATTCTGTATAAAATTGGCATTGAAGTAGTGGATGTCTACAATGTTTACAACTTCTCTTGCTAACTTTCCTGAGGTTTGTTGGAATTATTATAATAAATGTCAGATATTTCAGAGCATGTATTAAACAGGCAATGAAGTACCTGAGATTCACTACCCAACATGCAACAAACATTTTCCTTCACTCTAAATGATTGTTAAATTATAACAAACATAAAACCTGGTATAGATAAAAAAAAAAAAAATCAATGAAGAGATAAAACCAATTTGGTGGGGTTTTCTACCAAAAACAAATAATTTCCACCCCACTGATGATTGTGTGGACGAGAAATGTGAGATATTTCACAGTCAGTAAAAATAGAGGTGGTGAAGTGCCTCATATTCCCTGCTCAACATAAAACATATTTCCATGGTTACAGCTGAAAACCGTTTAATTCACAGATACATAGGACACTGCATATCTACAGTGATTAAATTTTCACCCCTGGACCTGTCAGAAGCAAATCAGTGTGTTCAATGTGAACTGGTGTTTTCCGTGCTCAAAAAATTTAGTTCCAGAGATTTCTCCTTACTGTCTGCCATACAGTTCTTATGATGTTTGTTTAGAGAATTTGGTATTGAATAAACTAATAATCCTCGAATTTATCTTTTTCCTTATTCTCATTAATTGTCCACTTGATATTGTACTGATATTGTAAGGAGAGATTACAGCTGCATGTTGAGGATTTGAATGTGCCCAAGAGGGCACTGATGACTTTGTCTTCTATTTTCTTCAAATGTAATAACCAATGTCCGAATTCAGTGGCATTTTGGTAAATTTAAACTCTTATTAATAGGTATTTGCCTATGAATAATTATTGTAAAATGTTGACAAGTAGGTCGACAACAACACAATAAATTGCACCACAATAAAGGAAACAACCTCAAACTTACCCTACAAAAGTCAAATGCATAGCGATAAATCTTTTTAAAAGTTGCACTGTCCCTTGTTAAAGACTTTAGGCCATTCAATTGTGCTTTTAGTTTAGCTGTAGAATCACATCTGTTTGAAAAAAAAATGACACATGCAGCTAATTCACTTCAACTTTTATACACTAAAGAAAAAAAAGAACACTTTAAAAATAAATAATTACATTACTATTAGAAAGAAATGAGGTAAGTACCATTGAAAGAGCCTTTTTTATCATACAATATAGTAAATTCATGTAATTATAAAAATACCCATTTGCTCCAATTGATTATTGTTCAAAAATAACAAATAAGATATTCCCTGACCTTTTTTCAAATAAGACAGGCCGTAAAGTATTCTAATAGTTATCTCTCTACATTCATGTATAACCACAAGATATTTTCTCAGGTCTGACTGAGGGTATTTTATTCAAAGTATAAACATCCTTAATCAAGACTTATTTTTGCCACCCTTTCCTTAAAACTGCAATGCAAGTTCTCTCTCTAAATTCATGTATAACCACAAGAAATTTTTTCAACGTCTAACTGGGGACCTTTTATTTAAGCATAAACTTCCTTAATCAAGACTTATTCTTGCCACCCTTTCCTAAAAAAACTACCCTAAATTACATTCACTGTACTACCTCTCAAGATCAATACTTCTTATTTTCACCATTATAGTTTTTAAACCCTTTGGAATGTGGAGATCAACAGGTCTCGCATTAATCCCTCATCTATTGCGAACAACATGTGTTTTGCTCAGGGACAAGTCTGTTTATGAGCCAAGTGGCCCATCAGGTTGGCAATTAACTATGGCTTTTGTAGCATGAAGCGACTAGGAGTATTTCTACTCCCCACCTGGGTGGGATGCTAGTCCATTGCAGGGTTACCCTCCAGCATTTAATTCACCGGTACCCATTAAAACACCTGGGTGTAGAAGAGGCACTGTGAGTGTAAAGTATCTTGCCTAAGAACACTACACAATGTCCCCAACTGGGGCTTGAACCCAGACCACTCAATCTGGAGTCAAGTGTATTAGTAATGGGCCCACTGTGCCTTCCACTAGCTTAGAGATAGGGAGGATGAATTGGTAAAAGGAAATCATATAATTCCCTGAAGGGTTATGTCCATTTGCTCCCATTCACACAGAGTAAAAGTTACCGTTCTTTGCGAGGCATTTTGACAGCAGAATTCAAACTGAGACAAGTTTGCAGGCCTTAAAAAATTGCCATTTTTCTCACAATTATGTTGAAATGTTTTAACCTACATGATCTGATTTTTAATTCTCCCCCCCTCTGGGTGCTACACACATCCTTGTAAATTATTTACAAGAATTTGGCATTAGATCAAGATAACAACTTTTACCTGATAAATTTGAATATTCTCATTGCTTGTTTGCTAGATAATGTGTGGATATTATAGGGAGAAGTTAAATGTTAATCCTTTCTGGGAGATAAATGATTAAAAGGTATTAAAAACTTTTTAAGACAGGCAAAACTACACTATTTGGTAATCTCATTGTCTTGGGTGCTTGAAGTTCTTACTCTATTGAGAGCATCCCTTTGCTCCATTCATGAAAAGTAAAAAATCCCATTGTTTCTGCCTGCAGTTTCCATGCTATAACAAGCATTACAGTCTGAAAAGACGAAAAAAATAATAACAAATTATCTTAAGGTCTACATGCCACAATCTGCTAATAAGGGTTGTTGGAGGGCTCCTCTGGAAGAGGGCTGTGTTCTTCCATATTCAAAGCCAGACAGATAAAAGAAATTTCCAGACTGGTAGAGTAATCCTTTTACTTGTTAAATTAAAATGATACTTTCAGTGCTTGACCATTGTGTGACATTTTGATGTTAAGCAGCGTTGTTGATACTCTTATTGTCAATGTCAAATTGGCCAATCAGATTGTGACATTACTCAGAGAGTCTGATTCACGCAAGTCAACACTTGGAAGAAAAAAAAAAAAACAAAAACCAAAAATCAGATCCCTGTGGATTAGCTGGCCATACATTTGTGAACCTGATGCTGGCAAAAATAAAGGGACTTATAATATTACATTTCCAAGACTTCTGATAACTATTTACTTAATGAGTTTCATGCTGATAAGACTGAAGCTCTCAAAAGTGACCAAACACAATATTTCATCCATAGCCACCTTCTTGCATGCAACCAGCTCTGGTAACAACCCTATTTTCAATTTCCGGGGTAAGTCGTCTACAGGAGATTCAATTGAATTAAGAAGGAAATGCATAATCTTAGACAATTACAACAGGGAGCAAATTAATCTTACATCCTCTGGTTTTACACCAAGGTCCTTACAGAGCTTTTCTACACCCTCAGGTCCAATTGTGTCTGGTTCATCTTCACCTACAATGTGGAAGAAGAAAAGATAGCATCTTCAAATCAAAGAGGTATCTTTTCAAGGCTAAAGAGGAAAAATTCACTATGTCCA